TATATATGTATTAGCTCAGCGCTACACATTCTCCTCTCGTCACTGAGGTCCTCCATCCACATGACAGAGAGGGGAACGCAAAAATGACTCAGGATGGAGGACCTCAGTTTAGCTTGTTTGTCGCGCTAGCGCTGAGCTAATACATATAAGGCTATATAGTGTCGGCGCTAGCACAAAGGCTAACAGGCTAAGCTGAGGTTCTTCCATGAAGCAGCTCTGTTGTCCTCCATCCATATTTTCAGTTACAGGCTGAGTTGAGTCATTTCTACCTTCTCCTCTCTGTCAACGCTCTCTGGTTTCATTTAAAAGAGTCGATCGTCAGATACGTATTGTCCAAGATTAACCTTCAGGGTGGATAAAGCTCGCTAGCAGCCTCGCACCAATGACCTATCCACGTCATCATTTACCCAGAATGCTTTGCGTGTAAATAAAATGGCTCTGTCCGTGTTAAAATATATTTAAAAAAATTACGAAACTAAGCAGCCTACAGTATTTTTATAGTCTTTATTTTACAGTTAAAGTAATTGTTTATCAAATAAAGTTTAATGTTACAACTAATCGTGGATCCCTTTAGGAACAATGGGCCGCATGCAAGAACTTGTTCGTTTTCTTATCCTTAATTTCTCTTAACTTTTTTCATATGAAGGGTTCGAATGAACATGTCACATCAGATTCAACAAACACTTCTATCTTCAGGAAAAGTGTGTAAATGAGGAGCGTAAACTGATGAATGTGTATCAGCTGCTCGTGCACGAGGAGAGGTGATTAGCATAATTACCACCCTAAAAACACCATATAAGGTAACGTTTCCTGCCCCACATACCAGGAAGTGTCCATTCAAAAGTGACATAGCAAAGCAAAAAAGAAGAACTTTACGAGTTGGGAGGTTGAATTTCTGCTCTCAGAGATACACAAAAAAAAGTCATTTTTAGCAGCATCAGCTGTGGAATTACAGGAGCTGCTATAAACCCGAGGAATTAAATGATGACTGCTGTTAATGTCGTGTCTCCCATGGGTCGTACAGACAGAAATAAAAATCTAAATCATATTTCTCTCTCTCTGTAGTCCTGCTCCAGTTTATCTTTGGTCCAATATTTTTAATTTCAGTGTAAACAACTGAGTTAAATAGTTTTCATTTATTCAGAAGAGCAGTCGCGCACCGCATCCC